TTCAGTTTTCATGTAATTAAACAATAAACAAACCGAACAAAAGCTAAATGTGCATATGCATTACTTTAAATGTCATATTAATTAAAATTATGATACTGCCATCAGTATGCTATGAATTTATCTTGGCCTATGGTGATTATAACTCAGATCTCTTATGTATTCATTTCTCAACCAAGTGTATCAGTTTCTGGTAGTGTCAGAAACACTGGTGGTTTCTCCATATATAAAAAAGTGAAGTGACCATGTCCTTGTCTCTTAAATGTACACAAATGTGAATTGATGTGACATGGAAGCAATGATGTTCCTAATGGTTATGGTGTTTGAGAGAGTTTTGTTGGCCATAAGATTCAAAACTTATACCGGACAACTAGCAAGAAGTAGATCTTTTGATGTTCTGAAATTAGACGATTTAATGTATGAGATGAAAGATCAATGATGCAGTTAATGATCCCAAGAAAATATTTAGGAATGCTCCTTTGTGTGGACATTCACAGGAAACAAAGAACATTAGACTCAAAAATGTCATGCACAAAACATCTTTCAGTGGCATAACAGTGAGCTTTTGGAATTGAAATATAATTTAAAAAAATATGCTAGCTAGCTTAGTTGATAAAGAAAATCACCGCAAGGTTCTTCGATCAAAATTTGACCTTTATCACTTATCCTTTGGAGAAAAAAAAAAATATATAAGGTTGTATATTATGATATCGACGGCAGAATATTTATTAACTTGGTTACTGATGATCTGTCAAATTCCAATGGCGTTTCTATGAGCATGGAATCAGTGGATGTTATGCAAAGATTTCTTGTATCTTGGCCGAATATAAGATGGATAGCATGATGGCATGGATTTGTTTGGATGATCGTTTGTTAATTGAGGACCCGTGAAAAAATGGCACTTATAGAAACTTGAAGACTACATCTTAGAATTTCTTTTGATCTAAAATTTTTAAGGTACTTGATAGCTGTGTTCATATCTGCACAGCGAGATGTTTCGTACTGAATATAGTTTCAGTTTAGTTCCGTGAGCAAAGTTATAATTTTTTTTTTACAGTTTTGACGGTTCTGATCATGCTTTTGCATATCTAGCTAATCTGAATTCATATCAAATTGTATGAATTCGAAATAAACTTGTAATGTCATATGCTCAGCAGACAGCTGAAATAAACTGATGGGAACTTGTTTGAATGTCTGCTTTTGTTTACGAGCACATCATTTAGCTTATCGATAACCAGATATTTGTTTAGATTGTCTTTCAAATTGATAGTGCAGGTGTTGATGTATAAACCTACTGCAAAAAATGGTAATGACATAGAGCAGCATGTTGACAAAACATTGTTGACCTTCTCATTACACATTATCTTTAATTTTTAGCATACATGGACCTCATTTTGTGTAAATGTCAAATAAATTGAAATTGACAACCCCTCTGGTTTTGCTTATGGCAGAATCAACCGATGGATGAAAGAGTAGTGCTGCACAGTAGCAGAGAAGTGGTGATAAAAAGTGCCATGAAGTTTTCATACATGTCAATCGGCATTTCTGGTGGTGCATTGGTAACTATCTTCTTTGGATACTACGTAACCCAATCGGGACACAGCCACAATTTTCACCTCAAGATCTGCACCTTGATCATGCTCGCATCCTTTGTTTCTGGAGTCAGCATTCCGCTGCTTAATTTTCTCCAACACCACATCAGGGTCTCTCTACAAGTCTTCAGAAGCCTCAAGTGCACAACCTTTGCACTACTTGTCCTGGCACTGCTCGATGTGTCCATTCTTTTTATGAAGATACTTGCACTGTTTGCGTTCGTCCCAACAATTGCCGTGGTTGTGATTGCCTGTGTGATTGCATTCGATGAGGCGCCATCGACAAGTGATGACCATCATCAGCAATAGCCTCTCTTGTAATATGCTGATGCTGAATAATATATGATAGCATGCACAACTTGTGTATAGATATATATATGATAGCCAAGAACCCCTGAAACCATACATCTTTTTTGTACTCTAATTTTAGTAAGATGACCTGATTCAGTTGGATTAAATCAGTTAGACATCTGCGGGATGCGACACATTCACTTTGTATGTATAAATTGTAATGCTGATGTTGTTAACACATGTTTAGATGGATTTGGTTACACTCTTGCTTGGATTATTTTCAGGGTTACATATTTTTCTTGTCATTCTCCTTGTACTGCTTACTTCCGTCAGATGAAGAAGAAGATGCTGTTTGAGGCCAAGATTAAAATTGTTTTTGTTTGTTAATTTACAATATCAATCTGACTGTGGTGAAATGTATGAAAGACATTGGAGGATATTATGGATGGCATTTATCGGTCCGATGTGTATCGTTCGATACATGCACGGGTGGTTCGATACATGCACGGGTGGTAAGTCTACCCGACGGTGACCCAATCTTTAACACCTTTAAACTAGTTGAATCTTTTTTCCTTTTCCCTTCTTTACTCTTCTTGTCACCTTTCTCTTACTCTAATTGTCCTCTAAATATCTTCTTAAAATTTGTCAATTCTTTCATAATCATTTAAAAACATGTATAGGATGATTTTTCTTTTCAAGAAGAAAATTTAAGCCAAAGGCTCAATCTGATTTCTATTTTAATCAAGGTAAATCTAATCTTAATCTCTAAGCTAATTTTTGCAATTATATCTAAGCTTACTATTCGCAACCTCCTTTCTATTGACGACCCCTACAAAAATAATAAAATATAATTATACTATCAACATACCCATAATTACCAATCATATCCTTATACCATTAATTACTATTAATTAATTAAATTAATTAATAGTATCTTACTCCATTGATAGCGAACTAGTTGATGGATCCAATAAAACTACATCAAGAATGTGCTTAATAAGGCTCCTGTGATATACCTATCTAGAGGAAACACAAACTTTGACAATTGTGCAATGTCTTAATCAAATTAAAGGACCTATTTGTAATTAATAAATTTTCATGGACTTAAATATTTATTAGAATATTTTTCTAAAAATATTTTCTATCAGCACCAACCTAATCTTTTACCACCTCATCACCTTGTATTTAATGACCTCGCTACCCCTCGATAAACAATAAGATTTGGATAATAAAATAGTAGAAGAAGAAAGAGAAAGAGAAGAAGGAAAGAAAAAAGAAAAAGAGGGAAAGGAAAAAAAGAAATAAGTAGATTTTTTTAATTTATTTTTTTAATTTTTAATTTTTTTATGTTAATTAATAATTTTATTAGTCTTTAAATATATTAATATAATTAATTAATTAATTAATTAAGATGATTAAAACTAGCCCAAGTCTATAAGCTCGTAAGCCTCACATTTTGTCCATGAGCATAAGCCCATAGGTCAGCCCATGACATAACATAGTTAGTCGACGAGCATGTAAGCCAAGGTGAGTGCTTAAGAGAGACCATTCTTTTACGGGCTATTGAATCTAATTCTCTTGGTATTAGTGAAAAATATTTTATTTAAGATATTATGTTGATTGGATACTGACGTGGTGGTCACCATACTGATTGGGTAGGTTTAAATAGCGCCATGATTATACTAATTGGCCTCCATAGCTAATTAGGTGACATATGTCATATACCAATTGGTTATCTATATTTTGATAAAATTTTGTTACGAGTTAAATTTTGATTATTTGTTAATTTAGCAATATAATTTGCTTCTATATAGGGAAAGAAATCTTATTTATGCCGAATCACTATGTTAAGCTCAAGAACTCAATAGTGATTACATGTATCAATAAATGATTAAATAATGTCCACTCGACGTAGAGATGCTTGGGAGTAGTAAGATGTGCTGACTTGAACTTTCTGCACAGGGAGTGTTGGATGTAAGGATATTCACAATGACATCTAGGTATGCTGATTTTAACTAGTGTATAGAGAATATCAGGTATAAGAGACACATGATAGCATTTGGTCATATGACTTAAACTGCACGTATAGAGAGTAACAAAGGAAGGACATATGTATGGGCCTTAAGGCATCTCAACTTCAACTTCTCATGTAGGGATTTTTAAATGGAGACATGAGATGGAATTATGACATATTGACTTAAATTACTCATGTAGGGATGGTGACTTGAATTGCTTGTGTTATATATTTCAATCGTACGAGACATATGAGGGATAAAAGCATGTCACTTGAAATATCCATGTAGGGAGTATCAAACACAAGAGATGCATGAAGATACCAAAATATGCTTACTTGAATTACCCATGTAAGGAGTATCAGATCTATGAGGGAATTAGAACATATCCTGCATAGAGAGTGTTAGACTCAAAAGACGCATGAGGCCATCAGGACATACTAACTTAAACAACTTATGTCGGGAATGTTAGACATTAAAGATGCAAGAAGGTATTGTTGTATACTGACTTGAACTACTCATATAAGAAATCATAAGAGATGTGTAAAGAAATTGAGATGTGCCAACTTAGATTGCTTAGGTAGATAGTGCAGAATATGGAGACGTGCATGAGTGTTGTCGCATAACAACTTGATATCCACATATGACATATTGGAAGCGGGTTTCATGCAAGGGTGTCAGAATATGTTAACTTGAACTACTTATAAGGAGCGTTCGAATATAAAAAGATGTGTTCGACGGGAATGATTGTTCTTTCATTTCTCATTCCCTTAATAGCAAACTCTTCAAGAGTTGAGAGATCTAACATAACCATGCCAATGATGCACTCGACAACTCTCACTCTCCTCTAATAAACATGTCCCAGAGGGACACTAGTGTAAGTTTCTAGCTTTACAATTGTCCCACGTCCTCAATCAAATCAAAAGACCTAATTGGAATTAATAATTTTTCAAAAACTAAAAAGTAAAATTACACTTAGAAATGTTTTCTATAAAAACTAACCTAATTTTTTACTACCTCATCACCTTCTATATAAAGACCTCCTTACCACTCAACAAACAACAACATTCGGATAATAATGGAGAAGAAAAGAAAGAAGAGAGAGAAAGGCAAGAAGGAAAGAGAAAAAAAGAAAAAGAGAGAAATGAAAAGAGGAAATAAGTAGGTTTTCTGATTTCTTTTCTTGTTAATTAATTATTATTATTATATTTATTAATATGTTTATTAATTTTAAATTAATTAATCTAATAAATGAATGAATGAATGAATGAATTAAAATAATTAAGACTAACATAAGTTCAAAAGCTTGTAGCCACATGCTTAGTCTACTAGTATGAACCAATGAAGCACATTAACATAGATAACCCATGAGTATGTATGCTAAATTGGGTACATAACTAGATAGGCTTTCCTTTTGTAGATCATACAATTTTAGATGTTATGTTGATTGGATACACTAAAGCGATGTTATGTTGTCACCATATTGATTAGATAGACTTAAAGGACACCATAACATTATTATACAAGGTGTGTCGACTTGGACTTGGACTTGGAACTCAATATTAATTACTTACGTTAAGAAATGGTTAAGCAAAGTTCACTCAAACATAGAGACACTTGGGAGCACCAGGATATGTCGACTTGGACTTCTTACATACAGATACATGAGAATGTCATATTGATTTTAACTATTGCATAGGTATAAGAGACACGATAGCATTGGGGCGTGCATCTTGCATTACACGCATACAGTGACGGATGAAGACATGCGTGAGGGAATAAGGTATACAAGAGATAGAGTTGCAGTATGCTGACTTAAATAATATCCAGGTAGAAATGTTGAATCGTGACTGGAAGTTGCAGGGAACCTTCTTGCTCGCTCGGGCCGCCTTTACGCTCGCTGTTCGTCGCTATTTACCTACTTGTCCTCACTTCTCGACTTCATCTCGGCAGCTCGAAGCAACCTTTCCGCATGGCTCTGATCGACGTCGTCGCCCCCGCTCTCTACGTCGTTGCTGTAGTTGGTGTCCTCTTCGTCGTCATCAACTTCAGACCCCCCCGCCGTCAAAATCCAGCTAAAGATATCGAGGCGGTGATCAACGATAAAGCTGCCGACTCCGGCGAGAGTGAGCTGCAGGTTGGCGGCGATGGCCAAGTGGGTTGCAGAACCAAAACCTTCTTGTTCTTGTTCTCGTCGTTTCTACAGGTTCCAAGGCACTTCTTTGTTTGCTTGCAGGAGAGCGGGGTGGAGACTCATGTCAAGACTATGCCGGAAAAGGTCGTGGAAGCCGGCAACCCCGAGGGCCGGGAGGAGCACCATCGACTGCCGGATGCAGGGGCGGCTCTCGTCGCCCAAAGGCAGGAGCAACGGATGGGTAGGAACGGCTCTCGCGGCAGTGGAGAAGTATACAATCTCTTTACCCCTACTTCGTCTTCCATTCCAATGACGTGTATGAGAAATAAAAGGTTTCTTGTTCTTTCTGTATAGTTGGAGAAATTTCAGATCACTTCTGCTGAATCTGATGAAGCAAGATTGGGGAAAGGAGCAGATTCTGAAGCAAGGGTATGCATGCATGTTTCTCATTCTCGTCACGTTCAATCGTCTCGAAATCCATGAATTGACCTGCTATTGATAGATTTTGTGGATTTTGATGAGGGGTTCTGCCCTTTGATCTCTCATTACTATCGATTATGCCCTCTTCTTGCTTTTTCCCAAGTCCAACAAGTTGTCTACATATCGGAGCTGCAGGAGCATGAAAAATCCATAGAACAAATGCCAACATCTAATGTTGTTGTTTTAGAATGGTTCATTGCGCATATAAATCGATTGAATTGGACCGAAAGATGGGTTGGATATTCACTATGAATGAACAGAAAGCAAACAATTATTTGACTTTCTAAATGGTTTATGTAAATTGTTTGTTCACATCAACCACTTGTGATCTCATTTTCTTGCATGGCATACACAGAGATCTTTTAACCTTATCATATGTTTCTTGGAGTAACATTTCCGAAAAGGAAGTCTTCATGCTTTCTTTCAGCAGCACATAAATGCAAATGCTAAACCAGCTTGTGGGAGTGATGATGAGAGCCCCAGAGGTCCTCTGCAACAAAAAGTCCATGGGAAACCGAGTCAGAAGCATGATCAAGTGAACAGTGTGTCATTGGATCGACTGGCTGAGGTAAACAATATGCTTGTCGCCCCCTTTACTAACCCAACGATCATCCTTGTAGTCTAGAGATGAAATTCCTGAAAAGAACTACATTGAAACAGCATCTCCAAACAACTTTGGGAGCTTCAGGTGTGATCCAACCAGCTAATGTTGAGACAGCTATCGAAGTGCAAACACTGTTGGTACGGCAACTCTGTAACTCTATGAAATAGCAAATGCCATCCATTTTCTCTTCATCGTATCTGTTAGAAGATGACTACTCTGCCATCGACTATTATCCCAGAAATAGGATATATTTTCTAAATAATCTTTCGATTAACAGTGTTATTGAGAGACGTATAAATTTGTTTCTTTGTTCAGTTTTCATGTAATTAAACAATAAACAAACCAAACAAAAGCTAAATGTGCATATGCATTACTTTAAATGTCATATTAATTAAAATTATGATACTACCATCGGTATGCTAATCTTGGCCTATGGTGATTATAACTCAGATCTCTTAAGTATTCATTTCGCAACCAAGTGTATCGGTTGCTGGTAGTGTCAGAAACACTGGTGGTTTCTCCATATATAAGAAAGTGAAGTGACCAAGTCCTCGTCTCTTAAATGTACACAAATGTGAATTGATGTGACATGGAAGCAACGATGTTCCTAATGGTTATGGTGTTTGAGAGAGTTTTGTTGGCCATAAGATTCAAAACTTATACAGGACAACTAGCAAGAAGTATATCTTTTGATATTCTGAAATTAGATGATTTTTTAATGTATAAGTTGAAAGATCATTGATGCAGTTAATGATCCCAAGATAATATTTAGGAATGCTCCTTTGCGTGGACATTCACAGGAAACAAAGAACATTAGACTCAAAAATGTCATGCAGAAAACATCTTTCAGTGGCATGACAGTGAGCTTCTGGAATTGAAATATAATTTGAAAAAATGAGCTAGCTATCTTAGTTGATAAAGAAGATCACTGTAAGGTTCTTCGATCAAAACTCGACGTTCATCACTTATCCTTTGTTAAAAAAACAAAACTAGAAGGTTGTATATTATGATATCGTTGGCAGAATACTTATTAACTTGGTTACTGATGATCTGCTAAATTTTCATGACGTTTCTATGAGCATGGAAGCAGTGGATGTTATTTAAAGATTTATTGTATCTTGGCTGAATCTAAGATGGATAGCATGATGGCATGGATTTGTCTGGATGGTTGTTGTTTGGTAATCGAGGATCTGTGAAAAAATGGTACTTATAGAAGCTTGAAGACTGCGTCTTAGAATTTCTATTGATCTAAAATTTTTGAGGTACTTGATTGTTGTGTTCATATCTGCACAGCGAGATGTTTAGTACTGAACATAGTTTCAGTTTAGTTCCTCGAGAAAAATTTTAATTTTGACAGTTTTGAATATTCTGATCATGCTTTTGCATATCTAGCTAATCTGAATTCAGAACAAATTGTATGAATTCGAAATAAACTTGTAATTTCATATGTTCATCAGACAGCTGAAATAAGCTGATGGGAACTTGTTTGAATGTCTACTTTTGTTTACGAGCACATCGTTTAGCTTATCGATAACCAGATATTTGTTTAGATTGTCTTTCAAATTGATAGTGTAGGTATTGATGTATAAACCTACTGCAAAAAATGGTAATGACATAGAGCATGTTGACAAAACATTGTCGACGTTCTCATTACACATTATCTTTAATTTTTAGCATACATGGACCTCATTTTGTGTAAATGTCAAATAAATTGAAATTGACAGCCCCTCTGGTTTTGCTTATGGCAGAATCAACCGACGGATGAAAGAGTAGTGCTGCACAGTCGCAGAGAAGAAGTGATAAAAAGTGCCATGAAGTTTTCATACATGTCAATCGGCATTTCTGGTGGTGCATTGGTAACTATCTTCTTTGGATACTACGTAAACCAATGGGGGCGGATCCATAGTTTTCAGCTCAAGATCTGCACCTTGATCATGCTCGCATCCTTTGTTTCTGGAGTCAGCATCCCGCTGCTTAATTTTCTCCAACACCACATCAGTGTCTCTCTACGACTCTTCAGAAGCCTCAAGTGCACAGCCTTTGCACTACTTGTCCTGGCATTGCTCGACGTCTCCATTCTTTTTATGAAGATACTTGCACTGTTTGCGTTCGTCCCAACAATTGCCGTGGTTGTGATCGTCTATGTGATTGCATTCCGTGAGGCGCCGACGACGAGTGATGACCATCATCAGCAACGCACGACTTGAGTATAGATATATGGTAACTGTTCTTAATTCATTATCATGAATTGTTTTATTTATTACGATTTAAATATTTTAATTTTTTATTCATTGTAAATGAACCGTTATTATTAAATATTTTTTATTTAATATCATTAAATTTTTTTATTATGGTTCAAACGTTACAAATTTGAATTACTTCTTGAACATTACGAAGTTGGTAATAATAAATGTTCGAGAACATCTATATAAACGAGGATTTTGATCTTCGAGCTCAACGTCTCTTTAAAGGTTAAAGGATTTTTTACAGCATCTAAAGCGAAAGTTCTGAACCGAAAAGTGTCAAAATTCAAGAAAAAATCGTTGCTGAAATTCTTGAGAACAATGACCGGAGGTATGTAATTTCGTTTTCACATTAGTTTTTCTTGTATTTCTATTATAATAGTTTAGAAACACATTTTGATATTAAAATTTCTAACATATATATATATATATATATATATATATATATATATATATATATATATATATATATATATATAT